TTTCTTTGGTGTGGGATCAGTTAACAACGAATGGTATGCAAAGTGTATCCAGAGTTCGAATCTTGTATTGGGAGTGTCTGAGGATGTTTATTTGGAACTTCTCATTTTCCTAGCTGATAATTGGTCATCCAATTTCAGCTCAACCAACATTGGAAATATATCCTTGATCAAATATGTTGATCTGAATGGGAATGTGGCTTTGTGCAGTATTAGTAGCCTAGCGAAGCCTGGCTGTAAGAGTGTAGTTTATCTATCAAAATACTTACAGAAGGATCTGTCATGGTTGATTGATTGGAACAAGGAATTCATGTTTGTTGCCAATCGTATTTTTATGCCAAAGAAAACTCATTATGCTATTCGATCATTTTATAAGAAGCAAGATTTATTGACATGGCTGACAGACTGCGTGAAGGTTGTTCTTGTGAGTGCGTATGATTATGCACGTGTTCTTATTGATTATCTCAATAGTGACCGGAAGCTTGTTGTTGCCTTTGCTCACTTCTTATATCACTCATCTTTAGAGAATTATATATCACGAGAGAATGTTGAAGATTTGTGTCGAATTATGCCACTCGTTGATAACTACGGGAATGTGAGCACAAAAAGGAAAGGGGTCCTTGTTCCTGCTAATGGAAGCAACTGGGTGAATCTGATTGGTTCAAATCCATGGAGACAACAAAGCTATATTGAGTTGGGGGAAGATTACTTGCGTCCTTACTGTTATGCTGGGCAGAGTACCCATGGAAAACAATTCTTAGAGTTCCTGAAATCAAATGTTGGAGCTTGTGATATCCCCGATATATCTCCTCCCGATGCAGGGATTCCAGCTGTGTATTCCCCACTCACCAAGCAAAACGCATTCTTGCTCTTAGATTGGATTAAAAACCTGAAAAATAAGGGAATTCCTATCCCACAGAAGTTGCTGACATGCATAAAGGAGGGTGGCTGGCTGAGAGTCACTATGAATGGTTCTCCTAGTTATAAACCACCATCGGAGTCATTTTTTCTCACATCATCATTGGGAACCATTCTGCAGAATGGATCTGTGCTTGTTGACATTCCCTTGGTCGACCAGAGTTTTTATGGTGATAGTATACACAATTACAAGGAGGAGCTGAAGGCTATTGGAGTAATGTTTGAATATTCAGAAGCATGTCAATTTATTGGGGAGCGTCTCATGTCGCTGGTGGCTTCCTCCAATGTTACTAGAAGCAATGTCTTGTCAATACTGAATTTTGTAAAATTTCTGGGGGATAATTACCTTCCACCTGAGAGTTTAATTAGTAGTATCAGAAGAGGAAGTTGGCTAAAGACGGACCACGGTTACAAGTCACCCGTTGGGTCTGTTTTATTTGATCAGGAGTGGAAAGTAGCATCACAAATCAGTAACATTCCCTTCATTGATCAAGCTTACTATGGTGAGGAAATCCTTTGTTTCAAAAATGAGCTCCAACAGCTTGGTGTTGTACTTGGCTTCGATCAACATTATGCGCTTGTCATTCAGCACTTAAAATCGCCTCTGTACCTGACTTCACTTGCAGATGAGGCTGTGCTTTTGGTTCTGAAATGCATCCGCTATTCAAAGTCCTCTGTTTATAACCTACTTGTTCAAGCACTTCAAAGTACGAAATGCTTGAAGACAACTGCTGGTTACAAGTCTCCACGTGAATGTTTTCTGTTAGATCCTGAATGGGGTTGTCTTCTACAGGTTTTCAGTGATATCCCAATACTTGATCTAAAATTCCATGGAAGTAGCACATCCTCTTGGGTAAATGAGTTGAAGCAATTAGGGGTGTTGGTGGATTTTGAGGTGGCCGTGAAAAAATTTGCCAGCATTTTTCAGCAAAAGGCCCGTTCATCGTCCATTTCAGAAAACAATGTTCTGTCCTTTCTCTCGTGTTACAGAAAGCTGGAGGGAATGTCTCGTAAATTTCCTCCTGATTTTATGAAGTGCATCCGTGATGAAAAATGGCTGCGGACTCAGTATTGTGTTGATCCTTTTAGATCTCCACGAGAATGCATTCTTTCTGGTCCTGAATGGGAGTCTATATCTCCTATCGCCATGCTTCCTTTTATAGATGACCGTGACAGTTGCTATGGCAAAGCCATTCATGAATACAGAGAAGAGCTGAAGCGTATGGGAGTCATTGTGAAACTTGAAAAGGGTGTGAAGTTTGTGGCTGATGGTCTTTTTAGTTTCGTGAATCCCAGCAGCCTCACTCCTGCAAATGTTCTTGCATTGCTTAAATGCATCCGGATATCCGATGGGAAGAAAAACTCTTTGCCCGAGTCTTTTTACAAAAAAGTTTCTCAAAAATGGTTGAAGACTTACGATGCAGATAATTATTATAGCCCGAATAGATGCTGCTTGTTCGATTCCGTGTGGGAATTGTATTTGAACCGGAGAGATGGACCCTTCATTGATGAAGAGTTTTATGGTTCTGAAATCAAATCTTACCGTGAAGAGCTTAAGGCAATAGGAGTAATTGTTGATGTTGAGAAGGGATGTTCGCTACTTGCGGACAACCTGAATTCTCACTCTGACTTTGCCACTATAGTTCGAATATATGAATACTTGGGAGAAATGAAGTGGGAGGCTAATAATGAAGCTGCAAAACGGATTTGGATTCCAGATGGAAGTGAGAATGGACAGTGGGTTAACCCTGAAAAGTGTGTTTTACATGATAAAGACGGTCTGTTCAGTTCTCAGTTGAATGTATTAGATAAACACTATGAGCGGAAGTTGCTGAGCTTCTTCACCAAAGCTTTCAGTGTTCAATCCAATCCTTCGGTTGATGATTATTTCAAGCTTTGGAAGGGTTGGGAAAGCTCAGGATACCAACCGTCAAAGGATGAGTGTTATGCATTTTGGCGTTGTGTTGTGGGTTGGAGTACGAAGAAACAAAAACTTCTTGCTGACAGCTTGGTGAAGGTGCCTGTAGATTCAGGCTCAGATAGAATTTTGTTGCTCAACAAGCAAGATGTTTTTATTCCTGACGATCTTCAAATTAAGGATTCATTTGAACAATCCTCTCGCTCATTATTTGTCTGGTACCCTCAGTCCAGCTCACCTTCTTTACCTAGGACTGAGTTGCTTGAAATCTATTGGAATCTTGGGGTTCGCACAATCTCTGAATCTGTGCAGAGAGAAGAATTATCCTTAGAAGATGGTGTGGAACTCGAGCAGGTGAATCCAAGTGATGTATCAATTGGCAGAGGGCTGGTTAAACTCATTCTTGGCTTCCTTACTGATCTTAAACTTGAAGGGGAAAAGAGGCATGAAGCTGTCAAGTGCCTCCTCAATCTCACTGCTCTGAAGACTCCAGAACCAATTACCGTGAGGTATAGTTTATCATTGTCATCAGGTGAAATTGTGGATGCCAGAGAAAGCCGAATGATTCGATGGGACAAAGAGAGTTCAAAGTTCTTCACTCAGGCGGTGGACAGGTGTTGTGGACACAAATTGCGCTTAGAATATGCAACCTACTTCTCAAAAGTCGTATCAGAGGGTGTGTTATGGGATAGAGAAGAGCACATAAGTGCACTCTCTGAGCTGATCAAGTGTGCTTTTCTGGTGGAATTTGATGAAGAAGCCGTTGGGTTTCTTATGAAATCAAAGAATTTGCAGATCTACGAGGAGGATGAGAAGTTCTTGGCTGCTGAATTCCCTTCTGAGTAAGTATGCAAGAAATCTCATGATCTGTATCCTTGAAATTCACCCACAAGATGTCTGTTTTCTCCTCCAATTTTCTTTTGTATTATGTTCCATTGCACGGATGTGTTTCTTTTCGTAAGTATATAATGTTGCTACTGGAGGGTATTGCTGCTAAATGCCTATCTAAAGAATTAGTATGTTGATGTACTGTATATCTTGTTCTGGACCTCTGTTTCCATTTCTATTTCCCAACTGTGTAAGACTGTTTGTAGCTTAATGTATATTGTTAATCTTCATTTTGTTCTTGTTGTGAATTTTATCTGCTGGTTCTATCATGACCATTGGGAATTAACTGGAGATTATAACTGAAGTAAAAGATGATGATATATTTTGATAATGGTTCATTCATAAGCACGGCAGTTTAAGAAATAATTTCTACTGCACAAGTCATTAACTTTTTTTCTTTAAAAAAAATAGAAGTTTTATTGATTCAACCGTAGGATTTTAATTAAATTTAGAATATACAATGACACGAAACTGAGCCTATATCTAATAACTCATACAGGACCAAAAACATTCCTTTAATCAATCAATTTGATTAATTTCTGAAAGTATATTTGCTCTCATGGTAGAAATAAAGCCATAATTTTCATAGGAGACAGATAGTTGATGAGATAAAGTTGCTAACTTCGCAAACCAAAAACAAAAACAAGTGAAAAAGCTGATCTCTGCATGGATGTTCCTAGCTGCAGAACTTATGAATTACGTTCTGGTTTTGGAGCAACAAGATGAGCATTGTCATGGCGACAGCTAACGTTCATTAGACTCTTCATAGCAGCTGGTTTTCTTCCCTTACACATATTCATCCTAAATCTCTTTCCTTTCTGTCCTTTCTCTTTTGTCTTTATCCTTGAAGCCTGGATATAAGTTAATATTTTACATGTAAATAGGCTTCTCAACTCAGCAATAGGTTAAAGGGAAATGAAATATACATACGTACCCGGTTGGCAACGATCTCACCGCTGTCGATATGTGATTGTGATGTGAACTTTGCATCAAGTAAAGGTTAAGCTTGTACTGGCAAGTGAAAAATAAACACCAGCTACAAGAAATTTGAGCCATTTTTTTCCAGTACCTGAAAGCCTAATNAAATTAATTAAATTTAGAATATACAATGACACGAAACTGAGCCTATATCTAATAACTCATACAGGACCAAAAACATTCCAACAAAATAATCAATCAATTTGGTTAATTTCTGAAAGTATATTTGCTCGCATGGTAGAAATAAAGCCATAATTTACATTGGAGACAGATAGTTGATGACATAAATTTGCTAAACCGAAAACAAAATGAGTGAAAAAGCTGATCTCTTCATGGATGTTCCTATCTGCAGAACTTATGAATTAGGTTCTGGTTTTGGAACAAGAAGACGAGCTTTGTCATGGCGAGAGCTAGATGGGGGGTAGCATGATGTAACGTTCATTAGGCTCTTTATAGCAGCTGGATTTCTTCCCTTACACATATTCATCCTAAATCTCCTTCCTTTCTTTCCTTTCTCTTTTGTCTTTATCCTCGACGCCTGGATATAAATTAATATTTTACATGTAAATAGGCTTCTCAACTCAGCAATAGCTTAAAGGGAAATAAAATATGTGTACCGTATACGTACCCCATTGGCAACGATCTCACCGCTGTCGATATCATCCCGCGAATTTTGGCTTTGGCTTTGGCTTTTGTCATCATCCTCCTTACCTGCGTAGATTACAAACAACTGTTTATATTGTACGAATTTAAGTAATTATAAAAATAAAAAAAATGATTAAGAAAATAATTTCATTAAAAAAAAAAAAAAGGAAAAACTCACTGTCATCCTCGTCCTTGCAGTTATCCAATGAGTCAACACAATAAACTCTAAAGCTTGGCGAGCTATGACGTAAACAGTCATCTCGAACATTGCTGCCCCCAGAAGAATCATCATCATCATCTTCTTCTTCTTCACCTTCTCCTTCACTTTCTCCTTGCTCAGTTTCTTCCACCAACGGCTTTTCCTCTTTCTTATTATCAGTAACTGCTTCTCCAGAGCTGTCGGGCTCTGCCGCTTCTTCTGCTGGCTCTGGTGTCACCTTCGCAGCTCTTAAAATAGCAGCAATTTCTTCTGGGGAACACGTGCTCTGTCTATGGTTTATATCATTATCATCACCAATAGTCCGAAACTGCGATGGACTTCGTTCATGCTCCTCATTGATACCTTCCTTAAGCAACTCTTTTTTGGATAGCGTACCTAGCCCAGCTGCATGTCGTCGTCCTCTTATCTCCTCATACCGACGACGCAGAACAGGGGGTAACTTTTGACCCACTGCATCCTTTCCCGATTCAGTCTTTGATCCTCCACACCCCATTTATGGAGGCAATTATAATATCACTGAATCGAATTAATAATTGAGAGAGCGAAACAAAGAAAGAAGGAAAATTATGATGATTGGGAAATGGATGTGAGGAAAAGCAGTAGATGTTAAGATTTGAGAATTTAAAAATTAAAAGAGAGGTCTAACAACAATTATCGTGCCAATTAATAATAACAGATAGAAACAGATTTGAATGGATATGGCTACAGCTTGTTATTACAGTTGTTACAGTCTGTTACTCTCCATGCATGACTTTTTGCTGCTTTTAGCAATTTTATGAATAATTCAGCTGTAAGTTTTTAAATTCCAGTCTATTATGTGAATTGAATGGATCAAGTTAATTTTGTTCATTAACAACCTGGAAACGAATTTTTCCGGACTTGATAAACAGACCAACAACCATTTCGTTCCACTGAGAAATCGGAGACTCCAAAATATTTGCCTAATACAGAAACTGGATAGACCCACCTAAATATGGATATAGGTCCTCAACTACCTGAATTTCCAGCTGAATTGCTTCCATTCCTACTTAATGAAACATATTTTGAGTATTCAAGCTATTATTAGTGGGAGAGAGAGAGAGAGAGAGAGAGAGAGAGAGAACAGATTAATGGAGTTATGAAGAAAAAGCTATGCCTTTCCAAAGTTTATGATTGACTTCTTTTTACAGTTTTTGATGTTAATCTATATATGGGCCATGCAAATGATATTGATTTATGGCTTTGGCTAATTATATTACATTATGACATGAAATCGCACAACACAACACAACTCGGAAAAACATTAAAGACGGGTAAATTGAGGAGCTACTGTTCAATTGTGAAGCGGATGAGCGGGATTCAACTGCTGTGTTATTTTATTTTTGTAGGATTATTTATATCCTAATACCATCAATCAATGGGTTATAAAAAAAATTATTTGTCTAGCTATATATTTACTTGTCCCAGTTACAAAGGACTCCATAGTAAGAAATTATTTAATTAATTTGCTTTCAAAACTTGAAAGAAAATTAGAAGTGAACCCCATTGCAAATATTATTGGATCTTATGGCCAACAATTAAATGGGAAGAATTTCCTTTTTATTGCAAAGTTGATGTGGTGTGCTTTCTGAATTAAGATCCATTAACTTCCAGGGGTTGGCTTAGCGGTCAAGAATGTTTGCTTATTTTATTGATTTCTTGGGTTCAAACCAGCTTGGGGCCACCAACATATTGTAGCTTACCTTGGAACATTAAGCTTGTAGGATGTTCAATGGGCTAGGGGATAGCTTACCGTGAAACATTAGGTTTGTAGGATGTTCAATGGGCTTCAGAGATTAGTTGAGGTATGCGCAAAATGCTGGACAACCCGATCATCAAAATAATGAGTAATGCTAGATATATAACAAAATCTTTGTAAGATTTATGTACAAACTGATGTGGCAAAAAATGAATAGAAAAGTGAATATCCTACCACATTGGGCTTACTAGAACATTAGGCTTGTAGAATGTTCAAAGGTTCCGAGGATGCTTATTTTGGAAATTAGGGCTCCGTTTGGTTCACAATTTTGGTTTTTGGAAAAAGTTTTTTGAAAAAGTTAAAAAAAAGTTGAATTGGACGGGTATTACGATGTAGGATTTACAAATTAATAAATACCCCCTATGTTTGTTTTTTACAAAACACCCCTTATAATAAAACATTAAAAATTACAAAAAACACCCCTAATCCACCTCAAATACGGACAGCCGGCCACCACCGTCGGAGGGTGGCCGGAGTCACCGTAACAAAACATTAAAAAATTTTAGGGGTATTTAATTGAATTAACAAATTTAGGGGGTTTAAAAAATGTGTAATAAAGTTGAATAATATTGTGAGTTTTTGGGTATTTTACTGTTTAACTTTTTTGGGAATACTAAAAGTAGTATCCCAAATCCAACCAAACAAAGCTAGACTTGTAAGATATCAATGAGCTCAGGGAATTAGTTGAGGTACGCGCAAGCTGGTCAGACGCTCGATCATAAAAAAAAAAAAAAAAAAAAAAAAAAAAAAAAAGGTAATGCTAGATGTACAAACAAATCTACAAGATTTTTGTATAAATTGATATGACAAAAAATGAATGGTAGAGTGAATATGATGGGTTTGACTTTTTGTTAACTCTCCATTCATATTATATCACATCAATTTGTATATAAATCTTTATAAGATGTTACACTCGTATTATTGAAAAAAAAATTCAATGATCCGGGATAGCTTACCCTTGAAAGTTGAAACATTGGACTTGTAGGATATTCAATAGATTCTGACAGTGGCGGATCCAGAAAATTTGTTTAGGGTGGGCCAAAATAAAAACTAATTAATATCAATATTTTTGTCCATTAATATTTTTGTTGGGTGGACCAAAATCCAAAAATTATATATTTAATATTAAAAAAAAAATTGAGGGTGGGTCAAAAGTGGACTAGATCTGCCCCTGATTTCAAGGATTAGTTAAGGTGTGTGCAAACTTATTCGGACACCCCGAGTCATTTAAAAAAAAAAAGTTACTATCTATTATCACTTTCTTATTGTAATTTCAACAATCGAACCTTTTCATATAAGCAATTTAAGATTTTTAGAAGCAATGAATCTACCTGTTAATACTATATATTAAACTCTTGACGTATTCTTTAGTGTATTTTCTTAACCGAATTTATACGATTTATATATGTAACAAATAATATAGATGCTAATAAAGTTGCTCAAAATGCATATTGGTGAAATTAAAGTAGCATATATAACATGGAAGCAGAATAACCATTCTCAAGTGATTAATTACAGAGATTCAATGTCATGGTCATGTTCACGCACTGGTTCATTTCTACTATGGACATAGCGGAGGCAACACACTAACAAAAAAAGAGAAAAAAGTTTATGTAACTCTCATCACACAGCACCGCAGGTTCAGAAAACGTTGGGCTACTGCTGCCTGCCCGATCATATGATGACCATTGAAGAGACCTCACTATGCCTCCAGAACTTGAAGACGACGATGAGGAAGAGATGGCAGGACCTGAACTTCTCTTGTCTCTCATCATAAAGTCGTGGAGTGGGGCTGACGAGCCCCATACCGTTACGAGTATGATCTCATTGCCATCTTTCGTACTTCTTTCTTCATAAATATGCGACAGATGACCCAATTTTCCATTTGATTTGATAATTCTGTAAATAAAACAAATCCAATGTAAGATTTTCATTTACGTCTGCAGGTCTATTAAGAATTTATTGACAAAATTAATTTTACTTAATGTACAAGCTAAAATATCAGTTTTTTTTTTTTTTTTTTTTTTTCCAGTATGGACATAATTTTACTTATCGTACAACCTTAATGTATTCTTTCGTTAAGAAAAATTAGGCATGTGCATATATACACATAAGCACGATATATCCTATTTGTTAAGTTATATAAAATAAAAAATAAAAATAGAAAGCTTAAAAAGTTCCTAATTTGTTTCAATCTCAAATTTCCTAAAAGCCAGCTCTCGGCTGTTGCATTACATATTTACTGGAAACTTGCCTGGGGTAAGGAGGAAATGGAAGGTGCAGTTCCTGCATTAACAAGGCGATATTCATGCATTACCCAATCAGTTCTAGACTCATTGGAGATTTCCCTCTATAGAATACCAGAGTTTTTTTCATTCCCACCATTTGATTTATTTCTGCTGAAGAACAATTTGTTTATCTACACCTGTTGCTTTCCAATAACCAGAGCAGTGGATCGATTGATTCGGTTTCCATTTGGGTACTTTGTTTCCTTGTTGCTGAAAAAGTACCTTTCTTGCTCAGTATACTAACATATACACGCAAACAAATTAATTGAAAAATGGAACTTGAATAATCATGGAAAAACTACTTAAGGTAGATAATTCAGCTGCATTGCTATTTTATACTTCGAGAACGACAATACATTTACCACTAGAATTCAACTACTGCAGGCCTAATCAACTTCAAATATAAATCTGGATTTGTACATGTTTTTTTTTTTTTTTTTTTTTTTTTTTTTTTTTTTTTTTTTTGTTTCACTAACCTGGCAAATCCCAGGGATCGTACTTGTAGATGTTGACCTCTGATGATTGGGGCGGGCAAGGAGCTGGAAAATATCTTACATTTCAGGTATTGGAGAGAGTTCTTCATCAGTTGGCTGGAAACGGAAACCAGGAGGCAATCTGACACTCCATTGTCTCAACAAAAGGAAACCTGTCCATGTTATCAACTTCAAGTATTTTTCTTGAAATTAGGTCCGTCAGACTATTATCTGTCAGCTCAAGTACGCCAGCAAACACTAATGTTACGAAATTTATAGTGCATGCATGAAGAGGAGACAGTGAGAAAGTAAGAAGTAAGTGGTTTATAATACTAACGTTGGTTTTACAGCAACACCATCATTTCATTCGTTAAAGACGCATAAAAGAAAGTGATCTTTCAATTAGTACTTGGATTAAATTTAATTAGTCCGTAGAAACTGCGCGCGGCCGACCTGATCATCCATAATGTCGTTTAATAATATTTAAATAAATACCTAAACAAGATATAATTTTATTGGATAGATAAATTAATATCCAATTAGAATTTTTGCACTGCATTGCATATGCATGAAAAAGAAACATCAATCATCAATCAGCTCTTAACTTCCCCTCTCAGAAAGGAAATACCAAAAACTGAAAAAAGAAAGCGGGCGTGGATGCTACTTGATGGATAGAATCTTCTACCTTTTATTTTATTAGTCTGTATGATCCATGGAAAATGTAAGGGCGTGCATTAAAGAGTGCCATTTTTTACATATATATCTTATATTTTTCCTGAACGTTTTTTACATCACATTACGGATACTCTCTCATAATATACTATAAAATCAACCTGAATTATATATGCATGCTTTAAATTAGATAGTGATTAACATTATTTAATGGTCACTTGTCACAGATTTCTTAAATGTTCATAAATTCAGATAGTGGAAAGGATCGATCCGAATTTTTTTGTCACAAGCTTATTTCTTGAAATCTTGAGATTCTTTAACTAAAGATTATAATTCTATTTATTAGATAATTCCTTTGCAGTTAAATCCTATTTTATTGACCGCCCCCCCTCGTGTTTTCCCATGCTGGGATTGAGAAGTTAAACTATTTTGAAGCATTTGACTAATTAATTAACTATAAATACTAAAGCGAACCACTCCGCATACTTGGCAGGTGACTTACTGATTAAGTTTCAAAGTCTTAACGTATTTTGTTAATTGCTTCGTTTTCTTCCATCTCGAAATCTTTAAATCTTTAGTGCTATTTGCTTTAAGCCTCTCTTTATGAATACAAAAGACTGCTTAATAATAAAGGGTATTAGCCTTTAACTTTCCAGGTAGGATAGATTGATAAATTCTGGAATGTAAACTGATGACACAGAAATGCCGTATGCAAAAGTTTCTTTGCCACGATTTTCTTTCTATTTTGTACAGGAAGATTTTGTTGGTTGATTTCAAAAGTTTGGATTTGAAAGAAATCAGATAAAGTCGCGGTAGATAGCCTTTTTATAGACAAAGCAAAGTACGCTTAATAAGATAATATTGAATAAGTCAAAAACCAAGTTTGACATAACTCTTGGTACTTTTCTTCATCGCGAAGATGTTGCTTTTTATCTTTCCATGTAATGTTTGATTGAATTTTTTCTGGTGTAATAAAGTATCAGTCGACTGCATGCATGCATGGCTAGTTTGCTTAAGAGACAGCAGCAACAAAGTTAATTAACATCACATGTTTTTATTTTATCTTTTATTAGTTAATTAATATTTTAATCTTTAGAATAAAGAATTCAAGTAACAGAGACGAAGCTTTAATTTAAAGTAGTGGGTTTCTGCTTTTCTTTTTCTTTAATGGTTTGCTTAATTTGTAGAGAAAAGCATGAATGCTTGGCTTGGGGATATGCAGCGAGGGTTTGTTAAAGATCAACTTTAATTAATTTGCTTCTGGTATAGAATTAATTAATTAATTTTGGATTTAAAAACTGGTTATTGGTCCTATATTTTAGAGCAAAGTTTTAAAAGTTGTGTTTGCTAGTCAAATTAAATCAGAATAATCTATTTCAACTGCTTTATATTACACACCTGAAATGCATTATCGTGAGTCATTCTCTTCATTAATAAATGGTTTTTAAAAAAGTAATGTCAAAATGTCTTAAAAAAATTGCATGATGGGTGGCAGATTTCTTGTCTTCTCTACCCATAACATGATTTATTCTCCTCTGGATTCTCAGTAGAAGACATTTCTCCAAATAAAAAATTGCATCATTCGTGGGAGTTTGGGCTTGGGTTTTAAGCCTTTTGTTTAGTTGGTCTTTACTATCATAGATGAATTTGGGCTTTTTTGGTTGAAATGAGACATTCAAATCTTGGGCTGCTGACTTTAAGGTCTATTTATGGGCTTATAGCAAACTGTTTTAGGGTGAGGTTATTAACTTATTTACATCAAAATAATCAGGTTTTAAAATATCATACTTATATTTCACATTTTCTTTTATAATCTCAATCACTAAATAATAGTATTAATATTTAACTCAAAATTTTTAATTATGCAGTATATGTCCTTAACAAGGAGTCGTTTAGAGTATAAATTTGAATCCAAAAAACTTCTCCATATGTGTATCTTTTAAAATATTTTCTCTACGAAAAAATCAAAAAGGTGATCGATCAAAAGAGATTAATAAGAAGCGTGACATGTATAACTTGAGAAGAAAAGCACAAAATTCCCACCAAAATGTTAATTAATGGGTACGGATCCGGGTCTATTTATTTTGACTCGACCTGTTAGGTGTTTTGGTTTGTATGCTAATATCTTAAATAGCTAGGGCACCTCTGTTTAGGGTTTTGGGGGCTGAAAAGAGGGTTTTAGCACATACCTAACAACACAATCCAAATCGAAGCTGATGGATACCTCAGGTCTTAATTCACCTGAATTGCAGCGATTTCTCAATGTAAGCTCTTTCTTTCTTTGGTTTATTCATCAATAACATGATATAAATCTAACTGTATTTTTATTATTATTATTATTCTAGTCGCTTTCAAACTAGTGCTAATCATCAATTCGATTGACATATGATTTCTGTTATAGGGAGTGAGTTTAACTTTCTGTTAATTTTAGTTTTCTTCCACCGAATTTGGTTTTATGCGATTTTTTCATCTCTTCTCTTGTATTTTTATGTACGCTTATTCATTTTTATATTTTTTTTTTAAATTTTGGAACAATTCGGAGTATTGGGTACTGCTCTATCTAAAGTAATTGAATGAAAATTCAAGGCATTGACATATGAAGTGCATGGACTTTGTATCTTTATGGAATTTCAAATAAAATGATTAAAAGTGTTTAAACTTGATTGTGGTATGTTGTTACATCTCATTGAATGCTTTTAGTTTCTTATTGTCTTATTATTTTCTAGACTCTATGATTATTATCAAAGGTATGAGGAAATCATTACTTGATGATTTTATAAGGTGCCCAATTTGATTACTGGAAAGTTGGAAGCAATGTGAATGATTTCACCTCATAGATTGCTGGAAATTACCATTGGTCTTTATGATGTTGTGTATGGACCATCTTTTATCTTTAATGCCCAGCAGCTGCTTATGGCTGTGTGTCTACTTGTGCGATCTTGCTTTGCAGAGTGTAGTGGAGGGAGGTAGTGTAGGATTTTCTGATATGTGAGAATGCTTTAAGTTTGAATCTAGATTTTCTATGATACATACACTGGTTTTTATATTAGCAGCTTAACTACAATGTGAATTTGGATCCTTAAATCAATGCTTGTAAATTGACCTATCATTGTGCACATTGCGATAAATTAGGTGATTGATCACGTCCTCAATTTATGCCATCAAATGGTCTAAGCATTATTGCTATTTTCTGAGTGTAAATCTTGATACCTCAACTGTAATATTGGATTATGATTATATGGATGGTGTTTTTTACAGCAAGAAAAGGAAAAGGCCATGGTTAATGAAATGGTGGCAAAGCTAACAAATGTTTGCTGGGACAAATGCATCACCGGTACACCTGGTAGTAAGTTCAGCTCCAGTGAATCAGCTTGTCTTTCCAACTGCGCTCAGCGTTACTTGGATATGAGTGTTATTATCATGAAACGCTTTCAGTCTATGAACTAAAGGAGATGGGATCCTAGACGTTTTATCTGAGTGCAAGATTTGACCCTTTGTCTCTCACCAAATTTTAAAATGATGTATTTTTGACCTAAATCTCATTTTGTTGTCTGGAAACTTTTGTTAGAATGGATTTTATAATTTCACACCTTTACAGAATTTTTCTGGATAAGTTATATTGCTATGAGTCATCTTGATGTCATTGTCATGCATGTGTTCTGTGCAGGGTATGGTAGGATACTACTTACTAGTGAGACTACCATTTAGATAATTCCAAAATTTGAGGGCGATGCAAATAACACACTTGAATGCTTATGGGCTAATTTTTTTCATGCGAAAAAGGATGATTCATCCCTAGGTGTGACTTATTTTCATTAGAAAACTGGGTACTTATTTTGTTAGTACAGTAATACGGAGTAAACTTAGCGTGGAGGAAATTTTCAATTTGATACTTTCCTATATGTTACTAAGAAGCAGCGAAGCCTGTTAATTGTCTAATAATTTTTTATCTGAAACTGGAAAAAACTGTTGAAGCGAATAAGAGCATACAATCTCAGTAGCATGCTTCATTTAACTAAGTACTAATAATTTATGTAGTCGTCGAACGGCCCGACTAAATTCCTTGAAGATAAAAGAAAAAATATTTCATAATTTCTGAAGCTGAATGAAACCATAAACTGAATGCTGATTTCCATCATCATTTGACTACTGATTGGATGCACTTGCCTAAACCTGCTCCTCCCAAGTCCCAAGCGACCTGATCTTAGCAGAGTGATTGCTAGCTTAAGGCACTTGTATCGTGGCTGGGCTTTAGGACAAGAATTATTTACATGACCCATATACCACCACTCAAACTCAAATGAGGACAGAGACCTCTACGGATGGAAAAACTGTTCAATAACCATCAAGTTTTCATCGCCATAAAACCAGTTTAGTATCAAGAAAAAGAAAAATACATTATGCAAAGAATGCCCAGAAGCCATCAAATCTCGAAAACTAAAATTACTCGGCACAAATGCAACACAAAACCTATGCTGAAATCATACAAATACCATACGCATGGGAATTAAGGAGCTGAGAATCTCATAGTGACAGTGGCACACAATGTTTTGGAAGCACTATGATGATGGCCCCAAAACCTCACATTCCATGAAAACAAACATTGACAACGTACAAGACCATTCAGCAATATGAACTACCTAAGAGTATTAGTCCCAATCAACTCAAATTCAAACCCACATCAATTTTTTTTTTTTTCTTTTGTGTTATAAATATTTTTTTCTTCCTTTTCATTTACATGTTGAAATTTGTCTGAGATTGTTGAGTCTCGCCTGTTTAGTTACCATTCCGGCCATCAGTTACCCGCTTTGATTCTCCAATTGCTGAAGCAAGAGATTCCGGTGATATTTCCCAGCTTCCACTTTTCCTTCCCCAACTAGAACGCCTTGGATGTGTGATGCCTCGCCCCTCAATGCTATCTGGGGGAAGGATCCTACTTAAATCAGGGGAAATATCAGCAGATCCACCGAGCTTATGTAGACCATCAGCATTGTTATCCCTTCTTCCATTATCATCCGACTCTCCTTCTACACTTTCTTCCCAAACTGGCTTCCTTCCCATCTCTATATCAGCCGCAGTAACAGGTTTCCTAATGTTAGGACTTACAAATCCACTGCTCACTCTTCTAGATTGAATTGCTGGCTCCTTAAAAATTTTTGCCCTGAAATTGTTCTTAGATGGGGGGATGCTGGTGAAGAAAGCCTCCTTGAAGTTCTCGATAATCCCTTTGTTGTAAGGGTTGGCATGTCTGTCATACCGATATCTGAAGTTCTCATACGTTGACTGCCAAAAAGCATAAAACAGATCAGGTGTTACGAGAAAAAAAAAAAATCCGATTGATCTAATATATGAGATTCCGAAAACAAGAATCAAATCATGGTTTGTTTTTTTTTTTTTTTTTAACATGGATACAGAACCTTGCAATTGGTGCTGTAGGGCATTAAAACAAAGAAGAAATATAACTGGCATTTGAAGGAATCATGAATAATCCCTTACCTGGTTTGTACTGATCAGATATGAATGGAAGATGGTAAGACCACCAACAAACCAGACTGAAATAAAAGTATAGATTAGGAGCACAATGGAGGCAGGACTCTTGGTCATTGCTTTCCATAATGATATCCCCTCCCCATTCATAATCTTTGTGACATAGACCCAGCAAAAAGCATGGACATACAAGCAAAGAATGGTTGAAGAGAAGACAAACATGAAGAAGAACCGATAATTGCGCTGCATCCAGAATCAAAAGAAAATTTCAATTCAGAGATTATCACCACCACCAAATTGACACAAATTTGTCTTATCGCATGCAAATCATATACTGTATCAGTGCAAGGAATTGCTGGGCATCAAAGTAGAATACATTCTATTTTGACCTGTACAGGAAAATATGGACATAACTGCAGTGTTATAATCAGCAAATTGACAATAAGGTGACGATTATAGTGAAGGCAACAACAGACATCATAACAACCAAACAGAATTTTCCTTACACACAAAGATCCTGAATCCGCCACTATGTTTTCCTAGGGCAATAAAGGCAGTACTATGTACTTTCCTTATATGATTCATAAGGATTCTGCTTAACATTTCATTACCAGTCAAACTGTTATACTTAAGAGGCAAGCCCATTACTTTGGGCACCCTGTCCTGTTACCTTAATAGGGATATTACTACTTAAAACTGTTTCCCCAATCATTCTGTTGCAATGATGTGTGCATCCTTCAAATGGTTTTACCAGCACTCTAAAGCATCTTATTTTCTTTTTTTCCCCTACATCTTCTGTATGGAGTATCCCTTTCACTAGGATAATTTGTTCAAAAAGAAAAAAAAAAAGATCTGCCTAAAGGGGGACAGTGGTGGTCAAATTTGACTATCACTGCCCCTTTATTCGAAAGAATGAGCATTACCAATTATCATAATTTTTTTGGAGCATTACCAATTAAAGCATAGTTCAGAGATACTGCTATTTTGGATTTGGAGAATCCAAAATGTTATTCAAAAGAATGAGCATTACCAATCCAATACACTGGCCAACCCAGGGGCAGTGATGGTCAAACTTTTCCACACAATTATTGCATATGGAACAGTGAGAGCAGCGAGGAGGTCTATAAAGCATGCAGGTGTCACAGTACTTGATCTTCACAACCACTCCATTAACAACCACATCCTTTGTGCGAGGCAACCGTAACTGAGGAGTTTGGCCAGGCCCAACTTCAGTATTTCCTTCATAACCTTCTAGCTCGGGAGGGTGAGCATTACGAGCTATTATACCAGGATCTCTTCCTGAGGTTAGTAGAAGAAGAATTAAATCCTGAAACAAGAAGTATGTCCATCAATAGAATTGCAGAAAATATGCAACAAAAGCAATATGATATTGTACTGTGTATAATCACAATTTTGCTAAAATTTTTGGCACAAAATCGATTCACAATCATGTCATCTCATGACAATGTGATAATGCAATATACAGTGCTTTTGGAACTAAATGATGTGAAAAGAAAAACAGTTTGCAACAAATCAGCGTCAATTCAGATTATTCTCAGACTAAGGTTGCATCATCAGTATCTCATACAACATATCCCCTTTTCTTATAGCTTGTATGAAATGCTAATTCTTTATTACACACAATACTAAGTTCCAAGGACTTCAAAAACCATTCATGTTTTATGCTACTTACTTTCAAAAGAGAACAATTAGAAAAACGAAGGCCACATAATCAGGAAATATCGAACTTTTAATTCTATATCTAGAAACCTCAATACAATTCATGACCACAAGTAAAAGGCCATACTCACCCTTAAGTTATCAGTGGTAACTAGATACAGAATTTGAGTCGGCAGAAGAATAAAAAATGAAGAGAATGGGTATTAGAGAGCAAAAGAACTCACAAATAATGTGAAAGCAACAACTAGGACCATTATTGATATTCCCAAGTCATGAGGAAAATCATCCATCAACTTTCTTGCAACAAAAACACAAAAGACTATGACAGGAACGACTATTAAGAAGATGGTAAAGAAGAGAGATCTGACATCAGGTCCAAATATAAGCCTTCCCTGAAGCAAAAATATCTGCAAAACCAAATAATCATTTAAAGAAAACATTAGCATAACCACAGCACGAGAATGTAGAAACACATTAAAGCTTTGTTTTGAAAAACAAAAAATGCCTCTCAAAGTAAGTTCAATGAGAAATAAAAAAGAAGCCATTCAAAAGAGATTATCGTGAGACAAAACGAGATTTCTGCTACATAAGCAGATACTGCAGTGAACTTAATTTATGATGCAATATGCTCATCCATTATGTTTTCCAACTAGAATTTACTCAGATGGTCCAGTAGCATGCATTGTCATTAGAGGCATGCCATAAGTGAACCTGGACCATCTATATATATATCCATGATTCCTATATCAGAGACCCTTTAAATGTCAATGTCTAAAATTAGTGTACTATGAAAGATAATAACATTTTCTGCACTATGAGACAAAGACAAATACTTGATTTTGCTGTGAGTGCATACTAGAAAAGCTGACAGAACAACTGATTACTGAGCTGATGACTAAAGAAGCAAGTAATGGGTTCACTTGCCAGAATCAAATATGGACTACAATAGAAAATCTACAGCAATAGTAATTGAAGCTAAATGAAAAATACCCAACTCCCAATCAAGTAAAATACGGCCACTTGTTAGCAAACTAATTCCAAAAATATATGCAACCATGTTAGAAACAGCAAGATGATTGACTTGCAGATAACAAGAACTAAAGCTACAAACTTTTTCCTTTTACACCAGCAAAAACCAAATCTTTCAATGTTGAATCCATCCAACAAGCCATAAATTCAGATCTTAAAAAGCCAAAAAGAAAAAAAAACCAGAAAACCCAAATCTCCAATGTTACCATATAGAAATGAGTACTTGAAAGTTAAAAACTCACATTGCTGCCTTTCCAGGCTTGATAAGTTCTGACCATACCAGACTCATCGGCTGCTCCGGCACCAGAATCCGAAGCCCCAGATGACGGAGGTTGGCCCACATACATCTTTCTAAAAGCCTCTCTCTCTTTCTCTCTCTACAACACAAAAGAA